TTTCAATTAAAAAAAGTGTGCTTCAAAAATATAACGTGTCTCTATAAATACGCAAGTTAACATTAATGAAAACCAATGTTTATAAATAATAGCATATAAAATATAACCGTTAAAAACACCCACGACGTCAGTCTTTCTGCTCGTTCCTTTTTGGTACTGTTCTTCTTTTTACACCTTGTCAGTTATTGGCTGGACTCTCTCTAGCCTTCATTCTTCCAGGCAGGTTCAACACAGTGCTGGAACATTCCTTAGAGATTTTGGTCAATGTTGACACGATAGCGTCACACAGTTGCTGCAGATTTCGCACCTATGATGTGACACACCCGTCCCACCACATCCCGATGGTGCCCATCTATTGAGATCTGGTGACTGGAGACCATGCAAGGACTATGAACTCATTGTCATATCCAAGAAGCCAGTTTGAGATCTCCGTTCATGCTGGAAGGAGCCAGCATGATAATATGGGGCACTGTGGGCATAAAGGGTGTCCGTGGTCAGCAACCATACTCAGGTACATTTTTAAACAATTTTCAGTCGGTACTAAAGGACCCAAAAAATATCCCCCATGTCTATATACCATCACCAGCCTGAACCGTTAATAGAAGGCTGTACCTTCGTTATGTTGAAGTCAAATTATGACCCTACCACCTGAATGTCACAACTCATCAGACCAGGCAACATTTTTCTGCTCTTCTATTGTCCAAACTTGGCGAGTCAGTGCAAAATGTCCTGTTCCTAGCTGACAGGAGCAGCACCCGATGTGCTGGCCCATTTGCTCCAAGGTTCAGTGTGTGGTTCATTCTTCATACCTTGTGTGTAATCACTGGGTATTTGAGTTTCTGCTGCCTTCCTGTCAGCTCCCAGCAGTAGGGCAGGGCAAAAATATTTATCACGATATGTATTTGAAAATTTGCGATAACGATCTAACTGACGATATAATTGACGCGAGACAAAGTACTTTACAACTCCACAACTTTGATGGTTTTTTTTGCACTAATAATGTATTTTCACTTAAACAAGCAGCTGTTTTTTATGTGCATTAAAGCTATATAACTATTTAACAGTGTGGATGCAAATTCCTCGCTGACAGTTTAACCAAAAGGCGTTTCCAGTGGAAACTGGCCGACATATCCTCAGCATAACCATGTATAATATGCACAAAACTTAAAAAGAGGTTATACACACACAATACGGTAATATTATGTTGAAGCACAGTACGTATCACTCCGCGAGGCTCCTGACTACGACAGCTGTAATGCTCCAACAATCCATCAAGAGTAGCGGCTTCGTAGCTTAGCAAAGTCGTGCTACAACAGATTTTCGAGCGCCGTGTACATAAAATCCATTCGAGGTCAGTAAACACAACCAGAATTCATACATAACGCACACCGGATTATAAGCTGCACGGTCCATTTTTCAGAAAATCAAAGGATTGATTTTAAGTGTGCCGTATTTTCCGAAAAACGCGGTAATAACGACGGCCCGCTAGCATGCGATTAGGTGTATATCTGACGGACGAAAGCTAAACCAGTTCCACACCAGTGAAGCTGCAGCATTTTTACAAACCAGTTCTAGTTCATCGGTTTCATTTAACGATCCACTTTCGCTCTTCTTATTCTCCGTCGCCGCCAAGCTTTTTCCTCCATGTGCGTATGAAAACAAAGGCACTGCGCATGCGTGTTTTACCCATATTCTATCGCGATATTTCATAGTCTTGTCATTGCCTAACATTATACCGGTATTGTCGTGAACGGTATGATATGGCCCAGCCCTACCAAGCAGTCTGGACGTTCTCCTCTGACAAAGCATTTTCACCCGTCCCACTGATTACTGGATGGTTCCTCTTTTTCCATCCCGTTCTCTGTAAACCTTAGAGATGGTTGTGAGGGGAAAATCCCAGTAGATCAGCAGTTTCTGAAATACTCAGACCAGCCTGTCTGGCACCAACACTCATGCCACTTTCAAAACCCTTTTCTTCTGCATTCAGATCCTCATTTTGAACTTCAGCAGGTAGTCTGGACCACGTC